ACCAGCGGCGGCCGTAGTTTTTTTTCACGGGATAATTTACAACAATATATCAAGATATAGTGACTGGACTGATGTGCATCCGCCGCCGATGTCCTGGAATCCAAATGGAATGACAAAACAAGTGTGCTGTCGTCAGTCGTTGATATACCTACAATAGCAAGAGGGTTTGAGACAATATAGATCCCTGGGGAATACCAGCGTTGATGCAAATAGTTGCTTATATATGTGCACGACCACGGTGCACAGAACCACCTAATTTATTGACGAACTGAAACGACAGAGATGGATTGACTTTTTGCTAATTATCAAGATACTCAGGATCATTAACTCCATTCGGAACCAGTTCGTGAGCAGTTCATGGAACAAAATCCAAAAGCATGTGATAGAGACACATTGAAGGACCTGTGCAAACTAGTACAGGGAATACTTTAGATTGATGTGTGGCTATTGTGGCATCAAGAAGTCTGGTGGCATGTAAAGGCCTCAACAGTTTCAAACGATTATTATTTGATTGTTAATGCATATGGGTTTGACTGAATATTTCGAATTCAAAGATGAATAATGGGACTTTTAGGTGAGTCCAAAACGTGATTCACTCATGATTACCTCAGCGTTGTTTCGATCTGCCATCCGTCCTGTGCTAATTGGTATTTTTTTGAGCAGTTGAAGGATATGCCAGGTTTTCCAAATTCGTTACATTTCTTTTTAAAAATGTATTATCAGTGACATTGAAGTAGACCAAAAAAGCTGAAGTCAATTCATTTTGGTCCAGTATACGTTTGATGATGATGTGGCCAAGGTCTTGAATCTAAGGATATATATTCTTTAACAGTTTTTCCAGGACTGATCTGCTAAGCGCTGTAGTTTCTGTTTTCAAAATAACTTTTTATCATTCTGATATGCTCCTATGAGGGTTTGAACTGCAGTAAAAAGAAGTAGACATCCACAGAACAAATATACGAGTTTTTGAAATTAGTTTTTGTGTTAATTAACCATTATTATAATTGCTACCCACTCATTGATGGTGTTTCCTTAGGAGTAAATTTACATGCTTACATTTAGTCTTTCTTGTTGAGTTGTGGACAGTTGAGACTAACAATGCATATGTAGTTCAGTCTAGAACCACTGATGAAGTCTGTAGCAGGTAGAAACAGTACACTTTGGTGTTGAATGATGAATAGTTCTTTGCTCAAATTTGAATGGAAAAAATTTAGTGAGCCCAATGAAATGAGTTATTCCCAGAATCTAAGAACTGTCGATTACTAACTTTATTTAACTGATTTCTAAATAATATCATAAGAAAAAATTGTCTTCCTTAGAAATATTGATAGTGATTTCTTCTATTTCTAAATGTTTATGATTCAGTTCAAAAAGTTTCATTTATAATTTTTTTCAGTGTAGTAATGAAGAAACTAGATTAACCATGAAATATCACTTTGTGATACTAATAGTATTACTCAAAATATTTCGTAAATTGCTTGAGAGATTGTGATGAAAACCAATATTGGGCAAGTTGTAAGATTAATAAAAATCCGTATTACAGAACACTGAGCACATAGACTCGTTTAGTATCAATAATGTATAAGTATTGCTCAATATGTTTTGGAGAATCGACTATATCTTGCACCTTATGATTCATTCTTGGCAATTTGAAAGAGATCCACAATATTCAAAAAAAACTTCTGTAATACTTTGTTTATAAAGAGGATTGCATAAAAATTATAAACAGCTTTGTCTGCCAAGTTTTCTAAAATAGTCTGCGGTGAATTATGAGATAACGGTCTTTTATGTTTTTCAGTCAGTTTTTGGGTAGTAAATTCGGAAAGTTATTATTAGAAATGATCGCTGTAACGGTAAATGTTTTCAATACGAAAAGGTGATATTTAGCGCTAGTCATATTGGCGTGTCCTGAAAAATGTTAATCGCTAATTTATTTTAATGAGCAACGGTTTTGCGATAAGATTGTATTGACTTTTTCAACCTTTCGCATTTTATAGGTTCATGTAAGTTTCCGCTTTCAATCGAGATAAAATATACGGAGTGGTCCAAGAAAACGAACTCAATTCTGATATTTACACGTATCTATTTCTTATTGATTCGTTATTTCATTTTAGCAGTGAAATGAAATAGATATGTTATTTCATTAAGAATAAAAACACCGATTTTAATTACTCTTTATGTTTATTCTCGCCACGTCAGTTGTAAAATTCAATAGGAAAACTTTGTAAAGGAGAACAATCATTAGTTGTGAAAATCATTTTAAGTCTTCTGCAGAAATATCATTTATGAATGAAAAAAATAAAAATAACCTCCAATCAAAGGCCTACAAAAATTGAGATCAAGTTTTTTACTCTGAAATTTTGTGTGAAACTGCATATTTTGGAAAGTAGTATTGAAAATTCTGAAAACTCAAGTATTTCGTCCACCCTTTTTTTTCATCTTTTGTAGTGTGATGATTTTCTCCACAAAAAAAACTTTTGGTCAATATTTCAGTGTTCCAGAAAGCTTTGGCTTTCCTTTTTTTTTATCTACATGTTATTACAGCTGAGTATTGCAAAATAAATCATATCATTTATTCCAAATTGATTCGGAATATAATAACTTATATTATCTCAAATGTGATCATTTTATACACAAATCAAAAATCAAGTTACAATTTAAATTTTTCTCATCATTGGAATTCACCGAGACATTTCTCTAGGCCAGGGATCCCCAAACTTGGAAGCCTTCGGGCTATAATGATTTTTTCAGTTTGTTCCAAGGGCCAATTTCTGCCCTTAACTATATGTTTACAGATCTCAATTAACCAATGAGCATCTTGAATCTCTTTTGATAATTGGTACAAGTAAAATTGATCCACAACTACAAAGTATTGTCGGTGGAAAATCACAATTACATAAATCTCATTACTGTTTTTGTTTTACTGTGATTCATTTCAATTATATGATATATTCAACTTAAGTTTTCTTTGTCATCATTTCTGTCGTTAAGTTTTACCTTGCAAGTAAATAAAACCGGGTAATTATCATTCTGTGTTTTCTTCTTCAACTTATCACAGCAATAGTAACAACAATTAGGTAATCATTGGCTGTCGCGGGCCAGATTGAGGACAATAAATCATTGGCTGTCGCGGGCCAGATTGATGACAGTAAATCATTGGCTGTCGCGGGCCGGATTGATGACACTGACGGGCCGTAGTTTGGAGACCCCTGCCATTGACTTAGGTTTTTTTGATGACTTGGCCAAACAGATTTGACAAATTTCCATTGCATTTCAATGTTTGCAAATATGCATTTCAATGTAGAATTTTGGTAGATTGAAAAATATATCTGTGAGCAATACAGGTTATAACCGAATTAGAAACCTGTCTTGATGATCTTATTCAGATTCGAAAAATGTATAGTATTTACATATTGAGTTTGTATCAGTTGATTTTCTGTGGGTTCATTGCGTAATTCGTTCAGGATTGTTTTTTTTTTCATTTTACAACTTGAGGATTTTTTTCAGTTATCTTTGCTTGCAACAATGAGATTTTCATTTTCCGTGAATCAATTATTGCTCGATTTCATTTTTTATTGCTTTCATTATCTCTTGGTTATACTTTTCATATGATTTCATTACTTGAGAAATCACTTGATTGATCTATTCGATCACGATATTCTATTCTTAATAAAATCTGCATTCGTTTCCAGTTTTACACCAATTCAAAATTGGCACGTTGATGCTGCATGTGTATGTATATTTCAACATTCAACAATTGATTTGTGGGGTTAGCCATGTTACCTTTGAAGAATCTTCAACTTTAATTCGAATGATTCATTTATTTATCCTGGCTTGGAACATTTCGCATAAATAAACAGTGAGAAACCTGTTAAACTTCTCTCTGACTAATAAAATCCGCAGATAAATGCGAAATAAATTGTGATATGTATATTTACTCTCGAGTCTGGTTTTCTTCAACTTTTTGAATACAATTTAACAGTAGAAACCGTAAATTTTATTGTATTGTTTTATTTCAGAAGTGTGAAATAGAGCGAACATTAGCAAAATGAATAAATATGGGGGTACATGATAATGATTACCTCGTTGATTACCACACTTGCAGACCGGTTTCGGGCTGTTTGGCCACTCGTCAGGTAGTGTATATCATCAACATAAAGTCGATGATTTCCGATAATTGAAAATCGAATTCAGTCAGAGTATCATTCCTCGAACTAAGCTGAAGACTACAACAAACAACAGGTTTGTCGTCGCCCCATCTGCCTGTGAACGGGGTAACCAACTGCATATCCGAAATTTGCCCAATTCCTCGTATAAGTATGCCCACTGACTATACGTGAAAGATTTCTTTTCTTTCCAACGAAAATATGAGTTCAGTCATTTACGATACTCTGTTCTAATTTTCGAACATCTTACTTTTGAATAAATGTACTTTGCTAAAATTTCTCGTTATTTAGGTAATAAAATTCCTTCAATTTGAGAATTGATCTTGTTTTCATATTGTTGCATTCGGCAGTAAATAACCTTTTTGAATACCACGCTCCGATGGTATTGCAAAATAACAAAGTTTCGTTAAAAAATGGAAATCCATTTATCAAATTTTGAGGTTTTTGGGTATCACTAATGACTATATTTCACCCAATTTGAAAACCCGCTAAACAAAATTGTTCAGAACAATAAATATGTATTGCTTTGAAAACTCAATCATACCGTGCGTTTGACATGTCATAAGTAGGAATTGAAGAGTCTCGAAAACAATATCGTTAGTTACCAAAGATTACTTACAACTACCAAACATATCCCGGAAAGTAGCTTATGCATAATCTTCATATAAAACTATGTATTTCTCAAACTCTAACTCCAATGGTATTCATAAATTTATTTAACGTATATATTGTTGCAACTGCTTGTTGGTTATATTCATTTTCAATCGATTTGAATCTCTGATTTGTATGCCGTAATTGTTTTCTTAACTAATTAATTGTTTCGTTCTGTTTCAGAACTTCCAGCGGAAGAAGGTAAGTGTTCCAGTTCTACCAAGTGGATTCGCTTCATTTGAACTTGAGGCAGAAGCTTTTTGGCATTTGACTTAGTGACAAGGATCTTTCAGTTCAAAAAATCAATTGAACAACAAAATAGCTGAATATATTCACGAAATATCGTAGTTCTCTTCTTATGATTTTGTAGAGTTTCCAGTCGATCAATTTTTTCGTTCAGGAATATAAACTCCTGCCAGTAAGAAAAAATAGCTTATGCATTTTTTCATTATCTTCAAAAATTGCTGCTGGAAAATAATTCCATGAAAATCAAAAAATAAATAAACAAGTACTATTCTGATCACTCCTATATTGATTTCAATTTAAGAGCCACCGGTAGACAGCTGTTTCAGCCTGTTAGGCGTCGTCAGTACCGAACAGGCGGTACTTGAAGACAAAATGTGAATAACCAAGAAAACTTCTTGATAAAAATAACTGTGTGAACACAAGCGAGACATAAAGTGGAACCACCTATTGGTGTGGCATCCAAGTCAACTTGCCAAGTTGTTATGTCAGTGTTGGTGGTTTGATCAATCGACCGACAACTGCGGTAGCAGTAAGACTATTCACAAATCTATCATACAAATTCATGACATTTAAACTGAAAAATCGGCAAACAATCAAATGAAATTGGTTTTTCACAAAAGGAATATATTTTATTTATCCTAGTTGGAACTTCAGCAGTATTTCAGCAAAGTCTTCAAGGGATATCTAGTTTAGGAAAAAGCTAAGGAATCGTATTCACTTAGCAAAGAACATTAGGGATATATTTTCATTAGTGTATCAGACCTAGCTAAGCAGAGGTAGCAACACATATGCTTACATTTATTTTTATGTCATAGTTTCATATCAGCTTGTCCGTGAAGAAGGCTAACGTTTTTATCTGAAGGGTTCTACAGAGAGCCTTCCAGAACCTTTTGGAATATCCATGAATGTTCGAGAATAGTCTGGAACGTTTCAGATTTGTGTAGAAGGATTAGGAAAGTTTCCGTTTTTACCTGAAGGGCGTGCTTAGAATATGCAGGGGTTGGAAGTTTGGTCTTCTAGAAATTTCTATAACAGTCCAGAACATTCGGGAACGTTGAAGAGCGTTTCATAACATTATAGAAAATTTCGGAACATTCTGGAATGTTCGGGAATAGTCTGGAGGGTTTCAGATCATTGTAGAATGATCAAGAGAGTTATATGGTGTGGTAGCTCCAAGGAGAAGGTTTCAGTTTTTCCTTCATGGTGTGCCTTTAGAGATATAGGAGCTGGAAACATTCAGGAATCTGTGGAATGTTCGTAAATAGTTTGAAACGCTCGGCAACATTCCCTAATATTGTAGAATGTTGTGTATCATTTTGGACTAATCGAAAAACCCTTTTCGTATGGATGGAGCTACTCATTGGTGTGGCTTTATATAGCGGTGAGCTTTGAATTCATCCAAACAGCAGTATATTCGCAACTCTCAATCATTCATGAGCTAGGTAACTATCCACCTGCCTGAAGACAACACAAACCAAAAATGCGACCTTAACCTTCAAAATAATTTTCTACGTAAAATATAATCAATGCAGTTGCAACCTTTCCTTATCACACCTGCTGCATTGGTTTGTTAGGGCTCGAATTTATTTTCTCTAGTGATAGTCTTGATTTTGCGATTGCTGTTGATATATTTATATGAATTGTATGGCGTGAAAGGCAGTTTCAATGTAAATGAAATGCTTGAGGTAGCTAAAGTATCAATTTGAAAAGAAATAATATCGTATCCGTCTAAATAGTTTTTCAATTACCACATTATATGTGACCATTATTTTCAACGTTGGAATATTTAGTAAGCTATCCTCAAAAAATGGACATATGCTACTGCGGATTTTTAGAACTGTGAATGAAGAACATTACGTAGAAAATTGCTTTTTTATATTTCCAAGGGAGTAGGCAGGGTAGTACCAGCGTCCCGACTTCTCACAAATAACATAGTCTTATTTCAACCACATCACACAAAACTACACACATCGGAAAAGTCTAAGGATATTTTTATAACATACTAAATATCATAAAAATAAATGCATGAGGTCGTTTAATTTCGATTAAATTGGTACACTCGACCACCCTGTAGATTTCTATGGGTTGAACAAAGCCTGCAAAAACGGTAACTAATCTTTCATCAAGTTTTTTACAAACTGTAGGTTTTCGGCTAAAATGAATAATCTGAAAGTGTCGAGTTTGTACATTCTATGCAGTTCTTGCTCAGCAATTAAACTAGAAATATTGTGCTTTAACATGGAACGCCATCACTTACCATTGGCTGAGATGAATAGAGCTGTAGGGCTTCTTCAAGGTGGCATGCGACAAAATGATGTAGCTCTTCGTTTGGGGATCTCCCAAAGTGTTATCAGTCGATTGTGGCGGCGTTTCCGTGAAACTGGCAGTCCAGCCGAACAACATCCAGGGCGAGGACGCGCTACAACTGCAGTTCAAGACCGATTTTTGGTCTTAACCGCAAGAAGACAACCGACAATCACAGCACCTGAGTTGGTTAACGTGTTGCAGCAGACGCACCAGGTAACCATTGGTCGTGATACTGTCAGAAGTCGACTGCATGAAGCAGATCTCCACAACAGAAGGCCACTTAGATGTCCACCTTTGTCGAGAGGCAATCGCGGTAGAAGATTAGAGTGGTGTCAAGAACATCAAAATTGGGATGCAAATGATTGGGCCACAGTTTTGTTTACAGACGAATCCAGATTTGGATTTCATCCAGATTCTCGTCGAGTAAGACTGTGGAGACGACCTGGAAATAATGAACGTTTGAGACACGTCCAGGAAGTCCACACATACAGAGGTGGTACAGTAATGCTATGGGGCGGAATCATGATCGGCGGCAGAACCGATCTTGTTTTTCCAAATCGCTCCCTCACAGCTCGACAGTACCTCGACACCATTCTTCTACTTATCGTCCGTCCGTTTGCTGGTGCTGTTGGTGAAAACTTCCACCTAATGCACGATAATGCTCGTCCACATGTCGCGCGTCTAGTGACTGACTGGCTCACCAACGAAGGAGTTGACGTATTGCCATGGCCAGCACAATCACCGGACCTGAATCCCATCGAGCATGTGTGGGACATGCTTCAACGAAGAATTACTCCGCATATGGGGAACATTCACACAACGTTTCAATTGAGAGAGCTTTTAATCGCTGAATGGGCCAATGTACCTCAACAAGACATTGACAATCTCATTTTGTCGATGCACGATAGATGTAGGGCCGTAATAAACCAGCGTGGAGGCCATACTTTGTACTGATTCCAATTTTTTTTGTATTATGATCTTTTTTCGGGGTGCCAAAGAAGAGCCATATTTTTTTTAGTTTTTCTTATATGCGCACTCAGTATTGTTGACCATTTAATAAATTTTGTTGTAAGTTACATTCGTTTAATAATCACCCGTCAACTTTTTTTTCCCTAAAGCGATCTAAAAAAAAAAATTTGCCATTTTAAAAAATATCCCTAGACTTTTCCGATATGTGTATTAAATCATAGGTACACATAAATCTTCCCCTTGAATAACTCCGACAGATAGACAGATGCGGTGGGGGATTTTTATAATATGTAGTAATATTGCATAATGTTCATTGAGTTGTTTTACACTCAAAATCTTTGGTAATGTCGTTTCTTTATGATTGAATAATCTCGGCCGCTACTTTGTGGAATTCCGCAAGGCACAATTCTCGGTACATTCTTCTTCATAATATACAATATGGAATTGAAAGTCGCCTGTGTGGGATACTGTAATAATCAATTCTCAAATTACAAAATCTGGTTTTGTCAGTTCATTAAAAAACTATGAGCATCAAAAATATTCATGCTTCATGACGTGGATTTTGTTCTATAAGAAACACGTGAACATGAAGTGTTAATGTTCAAGATGAGGAATGTATAGGATCTTTTATCGGCCGCTTCCTATTTTTAAATGTATATGTCATCGAAATTTTTATTCCTTCGAAAGACCTATTGAGGCCATTATGTGTGGAATATAACATCGTTCAAATGTCAGTCACGGCTTCTATGGGTAGAGCGTATCCGAAACGTCGATGACTTTGGCGGATAAATCAAACCGAATTTGACCGATGGCATGGCCTATGTTGGCTTTGAGTACCCTTGTGGTTTGTAGCTTGGTCGCACACACCGGCGACTTAGGAAAACCCCGCAAGAAAAAGTTTAACAGGCGACGCGAAATCGACTGCCTCGGATTCTGCTGCACATTCTCACAGACAGCGCGTGTTGTTGAATACTATATTCGTCCATAGTGGTTTGGCAAAACAGACTGATGAAATAACAAGATGATCATTATCAATTGTCAAAGATCGTAAATCCCTGTTGGAAGGCCATATATTTCAAGTTATGAACTCTTACTCTAATGAAATATCCTGTAATCAATTTAATTGCTGTCAACTCAAACTGAAACTTCAATTGGTAAGTTTCTAATGAGAATCAGTATTTCCTGGGAGATTTGAACATTTTTATCATCCCAGAGGTTGTTTGCGTCGGACACTGCGTTTAAATTTCGTTGCAAAACTCGTTATATTTTCAAAGGATCCTTTGAAAAATCTATTTCTACTTGCAGTCACGCTTAAGCAAAAATATGGACCGTAAAACGAATCCTACGCATATGCATATAAACGAATATTTAATGACAAGGCATCAGCGGTTCATTTTACTAATTTCTATTGAGAACTTTTAAGTTGCGTTATTTTCGAAGCAAATCGGATTTTTATGGTCGTTTATTTATTGGTAGTATCGGTATTACGAGGTGCACTACTTAAATTTTGAGTTTTATCTCTTACAAGACGTTCTGAAGTCAAACATATTTCTCAATATAACAACAATTTTCCTCACTAGTTTTTCCCCTGGGGAAAAATGAAGCGGAGTTAAATCAGGTAACCATGCAGGCCGTAAAACAGATCTGTCCCGGAGTAATCCTTACTGAAAATAATAATT